AGAGCTGATTTCAGGTTGTACTTGTAGAGTCGTTCGAGCCGTMAGTCAAGGGGACTGGACATCTAGGCTCTTTAAAGTAATTGAAAAAAAGTTACATTATATAATGAAATGATTTTTTTTGTAGTGTTATATCTAAATTACATCATGGCTCCTCATGATTCGCGCGTTTCCARTTTCTCATTTATTTATGATTAATTCTACTGTCAAATTAAAACAAGCAATAAATTCYACAATATTTTGCACAATTTTAAATCTCATTGCCATTTTCCCATTGTTTTCTTGCAGTAAATCCTAGCTTCAGTGCCTGAAATTCGTTTTCTTTCTCGATCAAAAATATAGACAAACCCCACGTACCATTTACTATGGTAGACTGAACCGTGAATCCCTTTTTTTTCAAAACAGCATTTTTTTCCCGCAACCAGTACTCCTCCCTAGTCTTTGTCGTTAAGACTGTGTGTTTTATCGTTAATCATGATATCTATCAACATTAACACGAGTTTGATTGATTGTAGTTATGTTTACCAGCCCCCCATAGGGTCTGACAACCGAGTTATAACTACAACAACCGTTCATTCAGCCATGACATGAAATAACAACATCACAAAAACYTGTTATTTCTAGAACATAAAGCTTCCTTTTTACTATCCCTAACATTTGTAAAGTATACCTAAGGTTTTATTGGTACAAGATGCACAAACCTGGCTGTAATTGACGGCTACGTGGCTTTCTTTGTCGACCTGATGTTCGGTTTTCTGTCTGTAGTTGACAAAGCAACAAGCAGATAGTGACCTTGATCGGTGGTGTGGCTGGTTCAACCAGTCAATTGCTCGATTTGATTGTTTAAATAAAACTGGTACCAGTAGTTGACGCCTCTTTGTAGATGCTATCCCATGATACAACATTACTTGTGCTCTCCCATGATGCAACGCTACAAGTGSTATCCCATCATGCACTTCTGCAGTTGCGATCCCATAATGCARCGCAACAGATGCGATCCCATGATGCACCGCTTTTTTAATTCAAAATATACACAATTTTTTTCGTATTGAAATTTATCATTGCTCTTCACAAAAACTGTATTAATGTTATATGGTATTTCTAAGTTGGTAAATCAATCCTGACACCTTAAAAGCTGGTTTKCTTGACGCCCAAATCTRCAAAATAAAACAACAAATAAGATGAATCTTATGGGCAGGTCTACTCTTTTGAWAACGACTCTAYATAGACACTACTACTGCCACAATAAAACGGCCATTTTATAATAACATCACGATATACAATGTTAACAACGTTATTTACAGTAACGGCTTCACGTCTTTCAGTCGACAAAGTGTCACTTGAAATTAAGAACTCACAACGCCAACTAGAAACACGAAGTCCTTTCATGGCTATACATGAACCGCGTATTATTGTGTTGTTGTAGTGTGTTGACAGGTTTAGCATTAGTACTTGTATGTAAACGGAATCGCATGACGTCGAYCAGTAGGAGTTTTGAGACTCTTGCGGGCGTGAATCGAAGAACAGCAACAATTTTTCACACCAATATCCATGAATGATTAAGACCACCAACATGTTACGAGACTGTTATGGAAGCCCTTTTTGACGCAGGATCTTTATATTTCTTTGTTGTATCAATCTCACAGGTATAAAGTCTTGTAAGATTTTTGATCAGTTGTAAACAAAAAAGTTTGCATTTTAAGAAACAGGTGAATATGAAAGCAAGCTGAGCGTTTTACAAGCAGTCTGTCAGGAGCCATTGCTGCATAGACTTCACTTGCAACTATATCAATAAATATTTTATCATTAGATGCATGGTATAACACTTGAAGTTTTGAATTYAAGATGACATTTACGATCGTTTAATGCCATTTATTATTTATGATAAAATTATTTTCACAAAAAACTGCACCAGTCAATTAAATGCTTTCACTTAACATAACAGACTCGCTGAATTTGGTAAGTGTCTCTAGAATATTGTACTTTTTGATTGCATGAGCTATGCCACAACAGTACACCACTTTCAATATTTTATTTAAGTGATGATGACATCAAAATTGAAGAAGAAGATCCACGGAAACTCAATACATAGTTTCAGGGCCTCGTCTTCTCATGCTTTCCGATTCTAACAGAACAATCGACTTAAGGATAAACACTTTGCTGAACCCAATAAAACAAAGCATTGGAACGAGGGCGTCAAGTGTTCAAAGCTGATCGGAAAGAAGGRAATAAAGAAAATATTAAAAAAATAGTGTTGACGGTTTTCGTTCAATGTTTAACTTGACACTCCATCAAACATATCTCATTTACTGCTACACGGAGAAAACACCTAGTATTGTTTAAATTATATTCATGTAGCGTTTTCTGGGAACATTTTTAGTTCGAAAGAATCTTCTTTATAGAGAGACGCACTAAAAAGTCAACTGAAAAACCATGAAAAGTTCATTGCTCTTCATAATGACATTGGTATGTACTCACATTGTTTTCTTATTATTTTTGATTAAATTGAATTGTCATTAGCAAAAACCTTTACTATTTGACTGTAAGTGCCTTTATTCTGTTTTCAAACTGAAAGTGCATTATTATGATTATTCTGGTAGGTTCTCGTCTTAAATGGAGCTATGATAGCCGAAGGAAAATGTACGTACCTTCTAGTAATGCTATAAGCTCCTAATGTATTACTAAACTATAATCTCTGTTATTTCATTCCAAGCCGGATTATGCCCTGCCGTGAAAAGTGGAACGTTCGGGATCTG